ATATCTCTGCACCTGTTGCAAAGACTCATCTATGTCTGGAGATAGGCACAGACAAGCACATATAGAGTATCATCCCAATTTTAGCATATGTACTGTTGAAGCAAGAACATGTACATATAAAGTATCACCCAAGTTTAGCATATGTCCTAATAAATTAAACAACATCATATATAGACAAAGAAGATTTCAAAGTTGGAAACGTCCTAAGAGGTCATCTAGCAAAGCCTTCCATCCTACTCCTTACCCCCTGGCCGTGCATGCTTAGAACATCTCTATACCGAGATATCAGAGTTTGGGCAGCTCCAGTGTCAAGTTGCTTACTAACTTTCAGAAGCAGCTGGTCTCTGTGACCAACTTTTTTTGTTTTTTTTAACAAAGGTCTTTTATAAAATAAGGCAAAATCCATCCTCTGGTATCTTCTAGCGTTTTGGAGCTACTTCTTCCCTCTGGAGTCACTCAAAACAAGGGATATCCTTTTCTGCTCAGACTCTACCCCCTGACCCTAGAGGGACTGAAACTTCTAGCACCGCAGTTCCCAGCCAGGAACCTCTCTGCAATGACTCTTCTCCCCCTCTGACTCTTCCTTTTCGATGGCATATATCTCCAAGGTTCATTCTCCCAGTTGGTGCTGCCCCACCTATATTGCTCTGCTCCTCCCTGCCCACCAAGCAAGTGCAAAGCTTCTGGGAGGCTGGGCCTCTGCAGGCCCATTGCAGTGCCATCACTCTGCTTGCCAAAAGCCATTTGATGCAGCAGGTAAGCAAGCGGTTAGAGAAATGCACTGGGTTTCAGAGAGGGATCAGTCTAGCTAAGGCAGAAATAAGCTCTAACTTAATAATCAGCTCATCACACACAGTAAGAGACACCCTGACTTATTCAAAGACACCGTGGGCGGTGCAGAGGATGAATAAGCATGATTCACTGCCACTCTGGCACCCGGGGCAAGAAGAATAATAAAACCCAAAGAATTGTAGCCGCCTGAGTAGTAAATTAAGAGATCCAGGGCTCAGCTAGACTCTAGACATCAATGTTACCATGGCAATAAAGGGCCCCAGCATTCAGCAGCTATTACAGAGCAGGCATCTAATAGGCTAGTCTATGTCACAGCCAAAGCCCAAGGGGCTAGCAAAGAAGACAAATTAGCATATCCATTCATTAGGGGCCTCTGCACACTTCTTCTCTTAATACCAATTAGTTGTTTGTTTGAACCAACGTCTCTTGCCTGCATTATACTCATTAGTGCCTTTTAGCCACTGGAAATAGGCTTGAATCTCCACAAGGACCTCACAATTTCCCAAGCCTTCATTTTTTTTCCTTAGGGGTCTAGGCTCATACAGTCACAAACCCATGGCCCTCAGTCCCTCGAAATGAAAGCATCTCTCACTGTACAGCTGTACTCGACAGATGGAAACTCTGTTCAGGAATGTGATGCGCTAAGGGTTCTTCCTGGAACCCAATGAAGTAGGGATCCGGGGCCATTATCTGGATCATTCAGGTCAAGGCAACCCTCTGGCCTTAGCCAGTGAGCCTGCTGGCCACGCCTGCTGGCCACTACTCAGAGGCTAGCTGTTCGGGAGGGGAACTTTGGGCACTGGGGACCATACTGGCATCATCAAAGTTGGGCAGTAGCTGTTCCAACTTGAAGGACTGCCCCTTAAGGTCCAGCCCAAACCCCGCCTATTCCGGGAAGCCTTCCCTGATCTTTGCAGCCCCGAATAGGTTCCCCCTCCTCCATGAACTTCAAAGATGACACCCTATGCTGCGCAGAATTCATGGGCAGCCTCAGGCCCTAGGCTGGCCTAGAGATTCCTCACCCATGACTTTAGAGTCCACAAGGTCACTAATGCTGGAAGGGACTGGGGTTCTAGAGAGCACTCCACAATGCCTGGGTGACTCTGATGGCAAACAACTCTTAAGCACCACTGCATATGACCTCCCAGAGACTCCCTGAAGATTTAGCCAATCTTCAGGTATACAAAGTACACAACTGCTCTTTGATGGCTCTGGGAAACACTCCCCTCCTCCACCCCACAATTGTGGAAATGGCCCACAAGAACAGATGCCATAAACTAGCCCATCTCATGGTAGAGGCAAAGATTCTCTGAAGAGTGCTACCATCTCTTCCTTCCTTTGGGAACAGGAAGACTCAGTCCATAGGATTGTTTCTGTTCCTCAGCAGCAACCATGTGGTTTTACTAGAGCGAGCAACCAGGAAAAGGGGCTTATAGAAGCAGCTGCTAACACCTATGCTCAAGGAGTGGTATATAGTTTTAGAGACTTGACTCATTTGCCTTTGAATCTGCTGTCAAGTTCAAAGCATCTCCTTTCTCCCTCCTCTCTTGCCGCTGTAGCCACTGCTTTATTTGCAGCCCCATTGGCCACTTCTGGCTCCAGTCTGCTGCACTGTTAAGCAGGTTGCTTTTTTTCCAAAATTGGCAGGAATGGTTTCTCCTTTAGCTAGAGTCTCTCTCTCTCTCTCTCTTATTTTTTTTTTGTGAGGAAGATTAGCCCTGAGCTAACATCTGTTGCCAATCATCCTCTTTTTTGCTGAGGAAGATTGGCCCTGGGCTAATATCCATGCCCATCTTCCTCTACTTTATATGGGACGCCACCACAGCATGGCTTGACAAGCGGTGCATTGGTCCACACCTGGGATCTGAACCCGCTAACCCCTGGCCACCGAAGCGGAGCATGGGAACTTAACCACTACACCACTGGGCTGACCCCTAGCTAGAGTCCTTTGAGTGCAAACTCATACAGATTTCTGTCTTTGAGATCTTATGGGATTTTGTGATTTTACCCCACCCAACAGCTGGCATTCCAGAAGACAGCCTGGGCTATAGTCAAAATACATTGCAAATATATTAAGTATATAGCAAACTCCGAATTACACAGAATGCTAGGGAATGAGAGATTCTGGAGAATGGAATATTTTGTTACCTGAGGTCACATTATTCCAAATCCCCTTTTGTCTTCCCACTCTTGGTTTTTTTTCCCCCAGCTTTATTGAGATATAATTGACATATAACATTGTGTAAGTTTAAGTTGTACAACATGATTTGATATACTTCTGTATTGCAAAATGATTACCACTGTAGCTAGCATTAGCTGACACCTCCATCACGTCACATAATTATCATTTCCTCTTTATGGTGAGAACACCTAAGATCTACTCTCTTAACAAATTTCAGGTATATAATACAGTATTATTAACTATAATCATCATGCTTTACATTAGATCCCCAGAACTTATTCATCTTATAACTGGAAGTTTGTACTCTTTGACCAACATCTCCCCAATTCCTCCACCCCCCAGCCCCTGGTAACTACCATTCTACTGTCTGTTTCTATGAGTTCAGCTTTTTTAGATTCCGCATATAAGTGAGATCATACAGCATTTGTCTTTCTTTGACATTTCACCTAGCATGATGCCTTCAAGGTCCATCCATGTTGTCACTAATGGCAGGATTCCCTTCTTTCTCATGGCTGAATAATATTCCATCGTATATATGTGCCACCTCTTTATCCATTCTTCTGTCGACAGACACTTAGGTTGTTCCCATATCTTGGCTGTTGTGAATAATGCTGCCTCCTGCTCTTGGTTTTTGAAGTCTTGCTAACATGACTGTACACTCTTTTCTGCCTTAGTAAGACAAGACCAGTTAACTTATCCTTTGCTGGTTTTTGAGGCTTCCAAGGGCTTCGGGATTCTCATACTTAACATCAGGAATAACACAAAAGGCTCTAGTGGAGAAAGTATAAGAGATGGAACTCACTATCTACTGAAACCAGGTTATCCCCTGGAATATATTTTGCTTTCATCAAAATCCAAAAAGAGGAATGAGTTTCTATTTTTTTTTTTGCCAGTGGCCTCTTTCTCTTCAAATAAGGGTATGGGGCAGATTCTGTTAAGGAAGAGTCCCAATTAATAACGTTCTAGTAAATGGAGTCTTTATTTTAAATTAATCACTACTGAAGCTGTCTTCATCAGAATAGCCTAGACTTGGAATTATGAATAAATCTATCTATCTAAGCTATTGTGCTGGTTATCTTGGTTATGAATATGCCCAGAATCTCAGTAACTGCAACATTCTCAGCCACCTGGGTGTAATGGGGGAGGGATGACTTGTGAAGGAAGGATCACAAACTCCATCCAGACCTGTCAGACACCCAGGCTCCAGTGGGGTGGACCAAACAGACCAAAAATGCTATACAATGTTCTTGGCTATTTCTACTAATTTTTCTTTTGTTGGATCTCACATCGGTTACAAGAGTTATATGTGTCTGGGAAACTGACACTGCAAAGTTCTGGCTTGTTCTCTGCCCTGATGCTAAGGGATAAATATAGATCTCAACCACCACAGAAATTTGGTCAGGATTCCAAGGGGTGTGTGTGTGAGGGTCAGTGACTGATGGGGCCATTCTGACATGTGGACTAGAAAAAGGCTTCTTTATGTCCAAGACCCTCTTTGGTGTGAGGAGGGGTAAAGCAGGAGCCCGGCCTCTAAAATCAGAATGCATAATCCACATAGAAGGGGCTTGTGGATTGACACAAATAAGGAATATTGTAGGTGGCTTGGTGTGTGTGTGGGGTGGGGAGAGCAAAGGGAATCTTTCCTGACACCCTAGATCCTTTTGCATGAGATCAGCCTTATGAAAAAAGAAAGTTATTCTTGGCCATCTCCCCTCACCCCCAACTCCTACCCACGCCCCACCCCCTGCACACACTGATATCCAACTCACAACTGAGAAGAACACAACTTAAGATTTCCATTGGGCCCATAGTATCTCAGGCACTACAGAAGGACAGGGAGTGGGAAGAGACATGAAGTTGGGGGTGGTGGTGAGTTGCTCATCCTCGTGACCCAGAATATCTCCCCCTCCCTGTAATGATGAGCTTGCTTTTCCATAAGGGCTTTCCTTTGATTCAGGGAAGGGGCCAACCAATGAGAGAGGGGCATGTTAGATTATTTTGGGGAAGGGCTCATGCCAGGAGGGTTCACATTTACCAGGCGTCAAGTGTCCCCAGCAACCAGTGTCTCCTGTACCAGCAGAAGCTCCAGAACTCTCACCCACTTGCCTGCCTCTGCCGCCTCTTTGCCCACTGAACAGCCATGAGAAGGCAGCTCCGGTCCAGAAGGGCTCCTGCCTTTCCTTACGGTTATCGCTACAGACTTGTGAGTCCCAGGGAACAGAATATTTTGCTGTCCCTTTTTAGTGGGGTGGGTTGGGGGTTGTGTAGGTCTTGGCTTATGGCTGCTTCTTCTTGGGATGGGCAGGAACAGTGAAGTTTAAGGAAGCCCATGGTTTCAAGAGCGAGTAGTGATTCCCAGCACCCCATTGCACCCTAAATTGCTGGATTGAAGGAGGAAGCCCTCTTCCTGTGGAACAAAGATAAAGGAAGGGGAAGATGCAAGAGAACAAAGAGTCTTTTAAAATTTTTTCTTGAGAGTCTAGAATTCGAACAGACCTTTTGGAGTCTGGGAGCAGAGGTTTCATTTCGAAAGCAAGAAATTTAGCCAAGCGAGAAGGGAAAGGGAAGAGGAAACAAAAGGCACTGCCTACCCAGCTGTCTCAATCTCTTTGAGTGGTAGCTTCTTAGGAACCCAGCTGTTCTTTTTCTAAAGCAGAAATTCCACACTCTAGCTAAAATCATAGTATCCTAGATAGAAGCTAAGAATAATCCTAGACATCATCTCTCCAGACCCCGCCTTATGTAAAGGAGGCTGCTGGGGCTCAGAGCACAGGAATGACTTGCAAGTTAGCGGAGGAGCCCAAAGTGAAATGCAAGTTTCCTCACTTCTAATCTTGTGCTCTTTCCATTATATTTGCAGTATGCAACTCCCTAACCCTCTGATCCTTCACCACCCATTGCTACCCTGCCTGCCACCCCACTCTGCCCAACACACACACACACACACACACCTTTGATGTCACCATTTATCTCCAGGGTGTATTACACATTTCTTTGAACCCAGAGTTTCTATGCATTTATTTTGCTATAAATCATTAATATATGACACACATGCTACTTTTTTGGGGGGAGGTATATTCTGAAATATCCCCCAGAGAGGATTGTGATCTGAGCCCCAGGAAGAAACAAAGCTAAACCATTTTTCTTTGGAAATGGCCACTTTTATAATCAGAGAGTTAAGTGAAGACTGTCAACAGCCAGCAGAGGAAAATACGAATTCTTCTAAGCCCATATCAACCTATGGATGGCTTCCCTTTACTTTCCAGACACAATTTGTAGAATCATTCTTTTGACATCCCCAAAGTCCCTTCCAGCTCTCAGAGCAGTTACAATCTATAGGGCATATATATCTATTTATTACTTGGCTTCCTTTCTATGTAATGTTGTTAAAGTGTCATTGTGTAATTTTAATTATTTGTCAACTGGTTTGGATCTTAAAAGCATCAGAGGATCTTGCTGTTTATAGGGAATACTTGATCAAATTTAAAAAGAAATTATTTGATGCAATGAATAATCGTGTGCTGATTTCTCTTTTAAAATTAACCAATCATTCGAATGTTTACAGGGTGTTACTCAATGCAGGGCACAAATTTATCCTTTGGGTCACACTGTTTACATATTTGTTTATATGTTTATATATTTAGAGTGCTCAAAATGGAGCCACCCTCTGCCCTTCAGACTCTTCCCTTTTAGGGCAACGTGATGGCCCCAGCACACACCCACTACTATATCCCAGCACACTCGCACACACTGTCACATGAGGGCAGTGCCACTTTAGGAAACTAACAAAAACAGACCCTCTCATTACCAAAGGATTTCCTCCTGTTAAATAGTTAGTTGCACAAAAGTGCCTCTCTTGCACAATGTGAGGTTCTCCTATGTCTGGAAGCAGAGGAGAGGAAAAACAACGTTTGAGGTTCCTGAAGCTCAGGCAGTATGAGAGCCATGGGGAAATTAGCTCTGAGAAGGTTAACTCTTCCCAGGAGGGTAAAGATTTAATGACAAGCCATCTTTCATGGGATTATCAGGAGAGCTCATATCTACAAATAAGATGAGGCTGAGGCCAAAGCCAGCTGCCTCCTCTGTGGAGCAGAGGTGGAAAGCAGGCATATTGGCAACAAGGAGAGAAAGAAAGTTGTTCAGAAAATATAAAGGGAATATAAATTCCTCCATAATGAAATGTTACACTTCAAATTCTCTGAGATTCTCAGTCGCAGTAGATTCTCTGGGGGCCATGATGGCTACCCACTACAGTCCACATGACTGCTGAGGTTAGGGTGACAAGCTCTGTGAGAGTGTTCCCTCAGAGTCCTGGTTCAGGAGTTTTAAGTCAGACCGTTATCATTGACATCTGTTCAGTACCCACTAGTTACCAAGCTGTGGGTTCCACACTCTGGAGGGCCATCAAGGAGTTAGAAAAATATGGACCCTACCCCCTCGGTGCTCACAATGTAGTTCAGGAGGTAACATGTGTACATATGTTCACACACAAGTGAAAGAGATTTAAGAACATTTATTAATCCATTCAACATTGAGCAATGGGGTTTATTCTCCTAAGCCTCACACTGTGAGTCCATGTCAACGTCAGAAATCCTTGATTATAAGCACCTACAATCTCTTGGGAACACATAATCTAACACACTGTTGTGCTCCATAAATCTGCTAAACCACCTCTAGGCACTTGTGCTCAATGTGATAGAGGAGAAACATCATTGTCCAGGGTATTAAGAGACATAGGTTCTGAGACTGTCAACTCTATCATGAACTTGCCGTGTGGCTTTGGCTAGATCCTGTCCCCTCTCTGGGCCTCAGATGGACAAGTGAATCTTCAAGGTCCCTGTCAGTTCTGATATGATGTGTGACATAAAGCTGTACATTTGAACAAATTAGAGAGCAATTCAAGAGTGCTTATAATCAAGAGCTAGATAGTGCTGGGAAGACTGAATGCTGAGAGTAGAGCCTTCTCATTCTGTATCACTTTTACTGATTCTGAACAACCCAATTTTCTGACCCCCACCCCCACTAATGGCAGCATATTTAGCTGAGTGTCCTCTAAATGGCCTTTGAGGAATCATGCAGGGAGGGGGCAGCCCCTGGCCCCTATCGTTTGACACATCCAACCCCAACAGGTGCACAGGCCCTGCCACTCTTCAGATTTGGACAGCAGAGAGAAGGGAGGGTGGCCTTGTTTTCTGCTGCGGTAAGCCTTGGCAGACTCACAAGAGCAAAGATCCAACTCTCCAGCCTATGGCTGGGAGGCATTTGAAATACCATTTGGTGAAGTCTGAGTTTTTCTTTTTTTGTTTCATTTTCTTAGAACCACTTAGAGATTACAGTTTCAGATCTCAAGTAATGGCTGCAATCAGTCAATCAACAAATATGTGCTGAGCACGTACTACATGCCTAGATTTTTCCCTAGAGTATGGGGTTGGTGAGGGGATACTAAGAAAGTATCAGTTGGGGTCCCAGCCCGCAGGTGGTCTGTTCAACCAGCTCAAGGCAGGAAGAAATTCCAGCTTGGGCAACAGTCAGAGAAGCAGCGAATAGCCCCCCATCTCTTGCTTCTGTTGGGAATGCAGTCTAAGTTTTGAGGAGGGGTACAGTAGCTGGCCTTTCCTCCTGATGTCTATCCCAAACTACTTTTAGCCACAGCTTGGGATGGTGAGGTTGAGCAGCTGAAAGTGTACCGGGTGTTAGGATGAAGCTGGCTTGGACTGAGAATTTGCCATCACGGACTCAAGCGTCTAAAACTACTATATCCTCTGGTGTTGAGCTCAGCTCTGCCCTGACAGGCCAGACAAAGTTAAGCAGGAGGCCAAGGCCCCAGGACAGAGTAGTGACGTGAGCAGTCCCACGGGAAGAACCCAAATGCCTGAAGCTGAGAACAAAGCTTGTACCTCTATGGAAAGAATATTGGGTCAAAATGGGTCATATAAAGGATATCTCCTCCAAAAGAACAGACAGAAAGAAAATCTGCCTCTTGTAACAATGGGTATGTTTATAGGGAAGTGCAAATTTGAAGCATCTCCAAATATTGAGTCGTTTTCCATTTATTTTTGGCTGGTGGGATGCGCCATTGGAAATTTTTTTCAAAAAGGGGATTGAATTTTGTCACTGTTCCAGGATGATCAGGATGAAGTGAACCAGAACTACTTAGCAGATGAAGAGGAAGAAGCAGAAGAAGAGGCTCAGGTGATGGTGGTACATGATTTGGAGGAGGAGGAGGAAGAGGAGGAGAAAGAAGAGGAGGAAAAGGAGGAGGAAGAGGGTCAGGGTCAGCCAGCAGGCAATGCCTGGTGGCAGAAATTGCAGATCGTGAATGAATACCTGTGGGATCCGGAGAAAAGGATGTCTCTGGCCCGAACAGGTCAGAGTTGGAGTAAGTCCCAGTTGTCCCAATGTCCCAGTCGGGTGTCCTTTGCTTTTTGTCCAGGCTTGGTGTCCAGGACTCCTTTACCATATGTTGGATGGGCTTGTCTGCAAACTCCTCTTAGATTTCACGTGAAGGGATAAATGCCTAGGGAAATGCCTAGACTATGGGCAGATCCCATCAGAACAAACTCCAAGTGGGTGAACAAACTTGATTGCATAGCTGAAATCCACTGGGCTCAATATCATTTGCAATGCAGAGACAGTAAGAAGTTGAAAAAGCACAGGATTTTTTTCATAAGTCCCAGCCCTGGCACTTTCTATATATATGACCTTGGGCTCATCATTTACCCTCTCTGAGCCTCAGTTTCCTCACCTGCCAAATGAGAGAAACAATCCCTGCCTTGCCTCTCTCACAGGATCAGCCTGAGGCTCCAATGATGTTAAAATCATGAAGTCGAAAGTACTATGCAGAAGCCTATCTCTAAGATATGAGACCCAAGTCCCTGCTGACCTGACCAAGAGTTTATAAAGCCTCATCTTTTCACCTAGTAGAAGGAGAGCTAGGAGGCCTTCCCCTTGCCCCAGCTTGTGGGTGCTTTACGTTCCCATAGTGTATACAGCAAAATTAGGTTTAAAGGGATCATTTCTAGTGATTAAGGCTGAGCCCCCATATTGCTTGATCAATGGCAGAATTGCATTCCTTAGTGTTTCCTCTTTGTACTACATCCTGCCACCACTTTTACTTCAAAACCTCCCCAGCACTGCTCTCCCAGGGTCCTACTCACCTCTTGAAATATTAATGCTGAGCCTTCTCTTCAGGAGATGTAGCCCGTGGTCAAATTCACACTTGCCACACTCTCTGCACAGCACAGAAAAAGAGCAGCTGCTGGTTTGGAACTCAGTTAACCCACAGGAGAAGGAAAAAAACAGAGGATGCCACAGATGAAATAAGAGTGCCCTAGTGCCAAGGGTCTAGGTTGCTGAAGTTGATGGTCATGCCTTCTAAAGGCCCCTTTGGCTGAGAATTCTCTCCCTTGTAGTTTATGTTTCTAATTCAACTCAGTCAGAGTGCAACAGCTAGCCTTGCTTCCTGGAATTAGGAATAGCAGGTGTGGAGCTCTGAACAACACCCACCTCCCTTCACCCCTCCTCATTTCCCAGCCCCACCCCTGACCATCCCTCCAACTCTCAACTGGAACAAATGTACCATTCAAGGAACATTCCAACATTCTGGAAGCTGCAGGCAAATACTGGACACTCACTGGGGCTCCAAAGGGGGCACAGCTGTTTCTTCCTTGCCTAAAGAGGACTGGAAAAACAGGCCCTTGTGAAATGCAAGTGTGATTCTGGGAGAGGGAGCCCTACATTAACTCTTAACCAGCCAGCCATTGAAACTTCACCAGATGAGCTGATCCAAATCGCTCCTATGGAGAACAATCCATAGGCCAGTAAGTGAAAATGAGGGAGAAAGGTTCAAGTACCCAGGGAAGATATGGCAGTGGAGACACTGCACCATAGGCCATATCCTGGCCTCTGGGTAGCAGGTCTAAGGAGAGTCCAAGAACTCAGGCTTCTTCTGTTGGGCTACCCCTGAGCAAAGGGCAAATAGTGATGTTAATGTCTAGGCCACCAAGTATGTGCCCTGCTGCCCTCTTACTTGAGAACTAGGTACCCACTTGAGCACTTACTAACCCTATCCCAGCCTGGACATCAACATAACGAACATATTCGCCCAGCCTTTTATCATATTCTGGGCTTTTCCTTTGGTAGCTGGGCAACCTCTATTCTTAGGAACTGTATGTTATTTTATTGGATATTGACAAGAACCGTATGAGGTAGTAATATTATTATCCCCATTTTACAGATGCAGAAACTGAGGCTTAGAGAGGGTAAGTAACTTATCTAAAGTCACGTAGTTAATAAGTGGCAGTGCTGGGATTCAAACCCAGGTTGGATGAACACTAGAGTTCATTCCCTTGCCAGAACACCACACTGTCTTCAAGAACTCTAGCAACGAACAAGGCCCTGATGGGTAGGGCCTCAGGACTTGATGGGGTGTTTTGGTGGGAGGAGTGAAGAGTTAGGATCCTGGGTACCTAGTCTATCCAAGATATCCAGGTCTATCCAACGTTGGGTGGGGCATTCAGGAGAGAACCCTGGATTACCTAGAGGAGTGGCCCAAGTAAAACTTGGATATCTGGAGCAGAAAGGGTCGGAGGGATCACTGGGTTCAGATGGGTACGGTGCTTGATTGTGCCGTGTGTGTGTGTGTGTGTGTGTGTGGCTGAGATAGTTAGCCTATCACAGACTCCAGGGCACAGACTCCTGGGTAAGGCTGAGGGGATGCATTGCTAGTGCCATTCTCCCATCTATAGCTTCCTGGCCACACATCCTGGGCAAGAAGGAAGATATCTCCAAGGCAATATACCTGTATTTTATTGCTTTCCTTTCATCCATGAAACTGAGTCTTTCAGTCCCCGCAGATGGCTCCAGCTGTTGATCCATTCCCAGGATAGGGATGGCAGTAGAGGAATGGAGGAGAAGGCACAGGGCACATCCCATTAGGACAGCCAGTGGGTAGTAGCCAAGTATCACAGGCACACAGGTGCTGCTGTTTCTCCTCCAGGGACTCCAGCTGAAACAATGTGTTCATGTTCCTGTTCTGCTTTAGTTCATCTTATAAAACATAAAAGTTCCAATTCCAACTGGATTACTAAGAATTTTTTTCTCCCTTCCTCCACTCCTTTTTTTTGGTTAATTTTATTTGGTTCATGGTTCAATTTAAAAATTAATATTTGGATTTGGTTTTGGATACAGCAAAGTTATGTGGTTTGTTCCAGTTTCTGGTTCATGATTCAGTTCAAATCTGTAGTTCTAACATCATTTCACCACTATGAGCAGAACCAGATATAGTTGCCTGAGAGAGCCCTAAGGAGGACTTGAAAAGAGCTTCTCAGCACCCATCTCACACTCATTCACCTCACTCTATGCTGCCTAACCCAGGGGCAAACTTAATCCTAATACAGCCCACAGAGGAGGAATTCACACAACTATGCTTCTGGTCCTATAGCAATAATAATATTAATAATAACAATGATGATGACTGCCATTTATAGAGCACTTGGTATCTACCAGGCTCTGTGCTATGCTATTTATATGCATTATTCAATGCTAAGTAAGTGCTGTTATTGTCCTCATTTTATAGATGAGGAAATTGGGGCCCAGAGAGGTAAACAGCACATCTAAAATTAAACAGCTGGGAAGTGGTAGGGTCAGGATAGGATGTAAGGAGAGGCCGAATTTCAGATATTGTTATGGATATAGAGAAGGATACGAGGTAAGTGCTAAACTTACTCCCATTTTACCTGTGAGGAATTGGGGGTGCAGAGAGGTTCTGTAACTTGCCCAAGCTCACAGGTAGAGCTCACAAGTAGCAAGTGTCAATAATTAAGTACAGTTTCCTTCTCCTCCCTTCCTTGTCCTGTGTTAATGTTCTTTTTGAAAAGCAGAGCCACTTAAACTTTTGCTAAAGATTTGAAATAAGTAGGGTGAAACCTCACTTTGCCTTGATTAGAGGCAAGTGCAGTAGAAATTAATCAAAAGTTTGAATTATAGGCTATGTGAAAAGAAAAGCTGTCTTCATCGCTTGCAAATAATCACTGGAACCAAGCTGCTAGGACTCTTCAGGGCACCTGCTTTAATGAATAGTGAAGAATGATTTGTACTTAGGACATCAACCATTGCCCAGAGGACTCCCAAGCAATTTGCCCTCTGCAGTACTTTAAACTCCACTCCCCTGTAATCTTGTTCACGGTCATCATTTGCTCAGCAAGCCCTTCCATCGGAGATGCTGTAAAGGTAAACTGCAATCAATCAGACCTCCGACACAATTCTCATCAATTCCAAATTCGTGAAATCTGAATGAGCAAGGACATACTGAATCTGGGGATAAAAAAAGGGCATCTCATGTGTTTGAGTTGGTTCTGGTTCATGAGTTCAAGTGAGGAGGCAGGGCTTGTTGGCAAACACTGACCACTCTCATCTCTGATTGTTCTGCAGGCCTGATTTTAGTCATTTACTTCTTTTTCTATGCTTCCCTGGCTGCTGTGATCACCCTCTGCATCTACACGCTATTTCTGACCATCAGTCCTTACGTGCCAACCTTCACTGAGAGGGTGAAGCCTCCTGGTGAGTGCCCAAATGCCCTGTGTTGTCAGAACTTGCTGGACAGAAATCTGCTTGCACAGCATGTTCAGCTTCAATTAACTTTGGCTCTTCCCGGTAATGACTTAGGGATTCAATTATTAAGAGTTAAAGTAAAATGGTACTTGGCAAATTATGGTCCTTTTCATTTTGATTGCCTGGGGGGAAATGATTTCATGGGAATTGATACAAAAAAAATTATCCGAAGAACGGGTTAATATATCCAAGACATGTTTTCATTGCCAGGAGTTATGATCAGACCCTTCGCCCATAGCCTTAACTTCAACTTCAACGTTTCTGAACCTGACACTTGGCAGCATTATGTGATTAGCCTAAACGGCTTTCTCCAGGGTAAGTAAGTTCTTCTGATTGGTGGAAATCTCTTTGGAAAGGTGAAGGGAGGGAATTCAAAATTCAAAATTCACCTAGCTCAGAAATCCCACTCTTACTAACCCCAGCCCATCCTGGTCCTTCCTTACCTTGCATCCCCCTCAGCACCTGTAGATACAATCAAAACTGCTCTGGTTTTTGATTGTATATTGCCTTGAAAACATACAAGCCAGCTTTCCAGCAAGATGATAAACTCATTGGGGCAGAGAACTTGTTTTCTCTTCTTGAACATCCTGCAGCACCCATTTATCTCCTGGGCACATCCAGATGGCTCAATAATGATCAATTATAAAAGATAATTCTGGGGGGAGGTACTGGTGAGAAAAGAAGAATGTTCTCCAGAACTGGAAGATTCCCGCCTCCTATACTTTCTCAATGTAAGAGAATTCTTGGAGATGGGCCATCTTGAAGGAAGAGAACAAGTGTCTTTATTTAACAGCATTCCAGAAGGGAATTAGTGGCAGAACCTCTGGGTGGCAGTCACTCCAACATTTTGATCTCAAGTGTTTTCAAGATGCCTATCTCTATAGCATCATCAGATACATTTTCAGGGGCAAATGAATGGCTTTTTGAGAAGCCCTTCCACAGGGTAAAACTAAGGCAGCAGCTTGGTTAAGGTTAAACCCAGAGAACAAGGCTCTGTATTTGTCCAGCTATCAAAGAGGAGCCCCAGTGGGTTTGCATTGTTGCACCTGTTATTTGTGGACAAAAAGTCAGTTAGGCTGGTTTGGTTGTCCTGGCCTGGCTGAAGTGGGGGATGGGAGTGGCCAGTAGAATGTGCACTAACTTAAGAAGAAAACAATCTCTTATGTGATGGGAAGTATTATTTAAATGCATAATTTTTGTCATTTAACTTGAACCCTGCAGAGCAGAGTCTATCATCCTCATTTTACACATGAGGAAACTGAGGCTCAGAAAGGGGAATTAATGTGACCAAAGTCTCCCAGCAGCAGAACCAGTGTTTAAACCCACATCCATGTTCTTGACACCCTTGCTACTCAAAGTGTGATCCAGGGATCAGCAGCATCAGCATCACCAGGGAGTTTGTTAGAAAGGTAGACTCTCAGGCCCCTCTCCAGACCTGTTCAATCAGGATCTGCATTTTAACAAGATCTGCAAGTGATTTGTATGACCTTTAAAGCTTGAGAAGTGCTGCTTTTCATTATTCTTTGCTCCTGCCATATGACCATCAGTTAGAAACTCAGCTTTGTATCAGTAATGCTCAGTGTTATTTTGGCAAAGTCTGAGCTTCAGATTCCTCACCTGTAAAATGAGGGGATCTGGGTTCTTTCTGAGTCCATGCAGTTCCATTTTTGGCCAAAAAACAATGTTTTGGGCATCACAGCCAGCACAATACCTTCTTTTCATTCAAAATGCTTGTGAGCTATTGCAAATGTATTTCCAGAATCTCTGCTGAGGAAATCACTCTGAGAAGCTAGTAGATGGAGAAATACCAATTCTGACCTGATGACAGAGGGTGGGGGGAACATTAGGAAAAGCATTGTGTTTTTAGTTCCAAAGTGTAGATAATATGCCCTGTTTAAAAGGAACACATATCTGAAATAGACATCCCAGAGTATCAATTTCATTCCCATGAGGACTGGGATTTTGCAATAAGGGTCATGCCCATGTCACATTATTTTTAATGGAACTACCTCAAGAGAAACAATGAGCATGTGATTAAAGCTTCTATTTAGAAAGTTATTATTTGAACATAGCTCTTGTTCTAAAAAAAAAAAAAAGATTAAACAAAACTTTGACTTGAATGTAGTTTTATAAAAGAAAAAATAAAGGCTTAGCCATAATTGGAATAGATTTAAAATTCCCAGTTTCTTCTTGGTAATATGAAACCCAAGTCACAGCCTGTCTAGATGAGGCTCCAGTAGTACATTTGGAGTTTTACCACTGGTGGATCATAGGTACACAATTTCCTCTGAAAAACTGAGCTACTTGGAACATGAATGCATGGGGGCTAGATCTAACTGGACTCCATCATTTAGAACCAAATTGAATATAACACAGTAATTTCCAAAGCCCAGTTCTATGGCATCTATTAGCCCAAAGAGTCAGCTCACAGATAGTCTATTTCAGCTCTCTCTCTGATTATGTTTACCTTGGACACATGTTGCATTCCACCCAATGTAAAGGAATACTAACTCCCAGGGCCTCAGGTCTCAGTAGACAAGATCTCACCCCCTCACCCTCTGAGTGGAGACCCTATGGTTGTCATTGGTTTCTGTCTTTCAACCTAAGCTTCTATTTTGCAGTGCTGACTTCCCTCTGTAAAGAATGAGGAGCTGATCTATCTCCTCCTCTTCTTCCTCCTCCTTTTCTTCTTTCTCCCTCTCTTCCTCTTCCTACCCCTTCCTCCTGTCCCACAACACACACTTTTCACTCTCTTGCATCAGGTGCCTCTCGTTGACCTCAAAGGGAGATGTGACCTAGAGATTTAACCCAGGAGCTTCGCCTCCTTATATACGCCATGCTTTGACACCATTCAGTCCCTTTTCCAAAATCTGTCATCTGTGTGCCTATTCCTCTTCCAGAAGTAGAAGAGGCAGCCATCCAAGTTTACAATTTACCATATATGAAAAGAAATAGTGGAAAATAGAAGTTATAAAGTGACCAACATATGACCCATGGTTAGATACTCAGAAGTTCCAAGGGAATAAGAAGCAAGGGGGCAGGCAATCAAAGTGAGCTGAGGAGACGAGCCCAGAAGTCTTCCTGGAGGGATGTTGCTGATGAAGGGCCTTGGGTACCTGATGCCAGGTCACAGGGCCTAGGACAGACTGAGTGGGCTTTTGGAGGAGCACAAGCAAGCTGGAGAAAGGAAACTAGGGAGGAGGACTACTGAAAACATGGCCTTCCCTTAGAGCACCTGTCTAACATGACGCTTTGCCACCCGCACATGCTTTAGGTTATAATGACAGTCTTCAAGAGGAAATGAATGTAGATTGTCCTCCGGGGCAGTACTTCATCCAAGATGGCAATGAGGATGAGGACAAGAAGGCCTGCCAATTTAAGCGTTCCTTCCTGAAGAACTGCTCTGGCCTGGAGGACCCTACTTTTGGCTACTCTACTGGACAGCCCTGCATCCTTCTAAAGATGAACCGGGTATATTGGCCCTTGATACTCTGGTGATGAGAAGTGGATGAACTGGGTAGGAGGGCTCTGGTCACTCTATTTCTCTTGGGCTCTATCTTCACACACTGCAAGTTTGGCCATTTTTACTGACAGCATCAGTAATACAAACAACCGGACAAAGCTATCAAGCAATAATTCCTTTTTCTCCCTGAACACTTCCTATTTCCATTCTTCTCCCCTATCCCTAAACCTGCCCTTTAATGCCCTCTGTCAGGAATGAGATCCTGAACTGTTTGGAATAGAGGATTGACATGGGGGTGGGGCAGGGGACAATTCTTATATCAAGAAATGCATTTTCCTTCTCTCCTGCCATGACTTAGGTATGGCAGAGCCTTACCAGGCAGATCCCTCTTGAAACTAGAAAGTTCTTTACATCTTCAGGGTTATCTTGCTGCAGTTACCATTCTTTGACTATCAGGCACAAATACAATAAGGAATAAGCTGAGCTGCACAGCTCTGAAGATATTTCGCATTTTCTGCTTTTTGTATCATTTCCGAGGGGGCAAAATAGATTAAGCTTATGCCTAAGGAAGGGATGACTCAGGGGAATTTAGAAAAGCCCCATTTTTACTGTCAAATCTGCTTTTTTAAAAACAAAAACAAAAACAAAAACAAAACACGCTGGTTTTCTTTTAATAGATTGTAGGCTTTCGTCCTGAGCTTGGAGATCCTGTGAAGGTTTCCTGCAAAGTTCAGGTAAAGTGCCTTTTTGAATGAGCATTGTTAGCGCACCTGTTTCATGCAAAAAGGTGGTTCATCCCTTCCAAGGGCTTTACCATGGATGGTTGGCTATGGGCTAGGGAAAGGGTTAATCTTTTCATAACTACACCTCCCTTTGGTACCTTCAGGCCTCCCTGTTTCCAGAAAGCAATCAATTCATGTGTGTTTGCATGTGTAGTGTGTGTGTCTATGTGCTGATTTATACCTGTGAAAGCCAAAGACTGAACCTCAGCTAAGGGCCAAAGACTGAACCACAGCAGGGAACAACAATGTGCTGAGCCATTAATTGGGATTCTGTTTACACTTTTGCTTTTAGCTCTAATTACTTGTTTCTTTGAACTAAACAAACAGCTTTCATTAGAGTCATTAGTCCCCGCTTTTAAAACTGAATTTCACTTTTTGCAGCAATGACCAGTGGCACTGGGCGTTGCAATAACAAATGACTACAAGGGAAGTATAAACAAAACTCCATTAATATGCTAATTAACTGTCCTTCGAGGGACCATTAACTCCTATCTCATCTGTACCAGTTAGCTCCTTTGTAGGAAAAAGCCCCAGATCTTGGGTTTGCTTCTTAAACTGGCAGTGGCTCCCTCCTTTTTGACAACATCAACTGCACCCTCAGCCTTGGACAGTTGTCTTGCAAATGTGTGAAGCCAGGTAATCCCATTCTCAGTACTAGAAATACAGCTTAAAACTCCAGTCTTGATGGTGACAGTTCAAAAGCAGCAAAAAGGAGCATTTATTCAGCCAATAGTCCACATTCAGCAAGCATTTATTGATCACTTATTATACACCAGGTACTTTGCTAGGTATAAGGGATGCCAAGATAAATATGACTCTGTCTCTGAAATCAGGGCAGTCAAGTATTATGGGTGCTATGAAAGGTGCAGTGGGGACATTGGAGAGGGAAAGGTTAGTTCCACATGGGAAGTGATGTTGCTGAAGATGAGCTTTGAAAGGTCAGGCAGTGTTTGCTAGGTGAACAAGGTAGGAAAGACATTCATTCTGTTCACATGTACGTGAGTATGTGTAAATGTACACACATGTGGGGTGTGACTATAAACTAGTGGAATTGATTTCACAGATCATTCACGAAAAATGAATTTCATTGCTTTTTAGAAGAATATGTAAATAAATCATAAAGACCAACTCAGTCTTAAACTAGCATATTAATTGAATTGAATCCTGCTTATAGTTCTCTAGTGGAAGCCATTCATTTTTCAGCTTACATTGAACCTTGATGAGAGCTGTCCTTCAAAAAAAGAGAAATAATACGAGTCTTTATACATCCTATAATAATTAATACTTGCCAAATCCACACCCACTGTGGAAAGCAGGATGGGTTAATTACTAGAATAAACTAAGGAGAGCTCAGTTTATACTAAGAACGACTATACTATATTGACAGAAGTAATCACATGACCCTAGTGAGTGATTTGCTAGTAGTGATGCACTCTTTTTCCCTTATCAGCCTCAGACCTCTGCTATTTAGGGCGAGCCTAGTGCATAGGCAGAATGGGCAGTCCCCTACCTGACATGATATAATGAGGGTAGACTTGTTTAATCATTTCCAGTACTGGGCCCCTCTTGCTTATCTTCCTGACTCTATCTACTTAATTAAGCACTACAGAGAATGTGGTCAGAGACATGAGTTTAAGTGAGCCCACTATAGGGAGTGTCCCTACTCATCAGGTCCCTGTGCACCTGGTTTGACTTCTGATAGAAGTAAGCCCACAGTATGCAAGTTGTTGTGGAATGGGATTTACTAAACATGTTCCAACTTATACCTGCCTCAGCTCCAAAGTTCAAGACTGGGTGCCAGGCCCAGGGTGATTCTTTAGAAAGGGGCTGGCATGGTAGGCCCTCTTGCCAGAGCAGCACCAGGTACTGCAATCCCTTTGGAGCTCTTCTGTCTGGGTCCCCTAGGAGCCAGCTCAGAGCCATACTGAGCACCTTCAGCCTCCTCAGTCCAGGCCTATTTTGTTTGGCATTCTTTGAACTGAAAAGCCAAGGCACAGTGTCTCCCTGGAAACACTTCTCTGGGGTTAGGTCTGGGCTGAGCTGTGCCCCCATTCTGCTTTCATGGTCTTCTTGCGACAGTTGGTTGCGGGTCACACAGTGATTTCACCTGGGGCACAGGCCCCTTTAGCTCAGGCTCCAACCCACTGAGTGACCCAGCACTCTACATGTACCTGCTTTTACTTACAGAGAGGTGATGAAAATGACATCCGATCCATCAATTACTACCCAGAGTCGGCTTCTTTTGACCTCCGCTACTACCCTTACTACGGCAAACTGACTCACGTAAGCCTGTATCTCCTTCAGTCTTTGCTGTCAGAAAGGGCTCAGAGACAAAGGAAGGGCTGGCTGGGATCTATGAGAATTAGGGAGCAGCAGGTAGTAACAGAGGGGTGAATAGCTGCTGGCCAAGACCAGGAGCTTCCTCTACCAATTCCTATCACAACCACTCCTTTCCATATCTGAAGGAATCTCAGATATGGTCTGGTCTAACTCCTTCAGTTTATAGATGGAGAAATTAGGGTTCAGAGAGATAAAGTGACTTGTCCAACATCACATAGCTGATTAGTGGTAGAGCCAGGAGCAAAAAAAATCACTGCCATTGCACTCAGTTAGGCATAAATAATTGGGCATAATTCTGTGTTTCTCCCATTTGAAGCCTTGGGGCAGTGAAGGCTTCATCTCTAGCATAGAGACTTGATAGATACTAGTTCTGGTTTGATTCATGGTCTGATATCCAGAAAATCATATTACGCTGAGTTAGAACTGGTTTTCCCCAGAGTACAAGCAGACATCTGACAGTGACTTATGAGAGAAGTGTGAAATTTCCCCACTGTCCCAGGGGAGAGAGAGCATGTCAGTTGCTTTAGGCATTTGTGACTTGGCATCATGGAATTTACTCAGTCCCCTTTTGTGGAGGTTAGCCCATCCTGCACTGAATATCTGATCACTTCCATCCTATTACCCCCCCACCACCACCATACACCCTTCCCTCCTCACATTTAGGATTCATTGTTCTTCCACCTACAGGTTAACTACACTTCCCCGCTGGTGGCAATGCACTTTACAGACGTGGTGAAGAACCAAGCGGTGCCTGTGCAGTGCCAACTGAAGGGCAAAGGCATCATAAATGATGTCATCAATGATCGTTTTGTGGGCAGGGTAATCTTCACTCTGAATATAGAAACCTAAGAACTTCAGGGGGCCACTCCCACCTGTTCTGTTTCTGTTTTATTTCATGTTACACCTGGTAGCAGCTGAATTCTTTTTCTTCAATCAGGACACAGCCAGATGGACACCCAAGACAGCAGATCATCTTTGACATATGTATAAAACGACATTGTGGGAGCTATTTGATTTTTTAAAGGTAGTCTCTCCTGATGACAACTATTAATTTCCTTTCCCTCCACTTAAAACTAAAACCCATTCTTGCTGCTAGAAGTCTCACTATAGTGTAAACATAGTATCTGATAAAATTCACAATAGCCATGAAGGAGAATTTCTATGATGATTCTAAATTCATGTGTTTTCTAAAACGTTGTTTTACGAGGTGAGATTCTCCCAATCGGGCTGATAACTAACGTTTTTTTTACTTGCCTGGCAAGGTCCTTCCCTGGGAATCACCAATCATATCAACCCAGAATATACCTAGAGCCACCATACCTAGGGAACTCTATATCCAGGGGTGCTTGAGAAACTGGCTGCCTTGCATGGGCAACTAAATACTGATTCAAAGACTAGGTTATCTTCAACAGGGATAGAAAGCAGTGCTGACTGGATATTGTTCTGGGATAGAGATGAAGACCTTCCCCATGATTTTTTTGGGAGGTGGGGCCCAAATTGGAGAGAATGTGGATGTGATTGGTATTTGATTCCTTGCTCTATGGTGCGATCATCCAAAGGCAAACATTCCTGCAAACAGGTTTGTTTCAGCTTTAGGCAGAGGAGAAAACATGGAAGAAGATCTCCATCAGCTAATTCTTCTTGGGCTATTTGTTTGACTATAGTGTGAGACTCTTTGAGACCATCAGGGACGGATGTGTTGACCCATAGCTACAGGTCTGGGGATTGAAATCAGGGTCTCCCAATTAATGCATGGCAAGACAAAAAGCTCCTGCCAGGCCACCCTAAATCCAAGGCCCATTAGTCAGCTGTTCATTTGCTTAAAAAATGATATGAGGCAGATGTTTATCCAGGTTGTGGATCAGCCAGGCTGCTTTGTCTTATCTTTGGCCATGTGATCATTCCACTGCTTCTTAACACCTCCACCGGGCGGCGGGGTGGGGGGGGGGGGGGGCCTCCCACGCGGGTCAGGGCACAGGGCCAAATGACCCCGAAAAGAGGGGACGGCCGTGCGGGTCGTGGGGGGGGGGGGGGGGGGGGGGGAGGGCGTGGCGGTGGCTGGGAAAAGGAGAAAAAGCGAGCATCAGAGAATAGCATAATGTCTCAGGGTCCAAAGCAAGCTTAAATGCCATCTAGAAGCATCCAGATTCTGAATCTCTTCTACAATGTTTACGTTCTCCAAAAACAGGGAACTGGCAGTCTGGTAGTGAAGACAAACAAGTGAAAAAGTAACTACGATATACTGTGACAAGAGTTATAAAACTAGTATGTGGAAACGCTATGGGAACATGAGGAAAAGTAACTAACTTGAGCTGAGAAAGTAGCAGAGGAAATTTCACATGCAAAGTCACAATCATGAAAGACCATGGTGTGTTTGGGTAACTGTGAGAAGTTCACGTAACTGGAGTGTAAAGGGCTCAGAGGAACGGCAGGCAGTGGCAGGGGATTGGCTTAAAGAGGTATGCAGGTACCAAAAGAGGACTTTGAGTTTTATCCAGTAGATGAAAAGGAGTCATTAAAGTGTTTTAAGCTGGGAAGCTCTGTGATCATATTTGCATTTTAGAAAGAGCACTTTGGCAGCCACTATGTGAAGGGGGGATTGGAGAGGGGCAAGACTGGGGAATGGGCAATAGGGAGAAGGAGGAGTCAAGATTGACTCTAAGGTTTTGAGCTTGACTAGAACCAGTGGGCTGGTGATATGAATACAAGAAAGAAGCAAGATTGGAGAGGAAGATGTTAAGATCAATTTTGGACATTTTAGGCTTGTGATTTCTATTGGTCAGACATTGATGTGGAGATGTAAACACAGTGGGGTTTGGGAGAAGGAAACCTAAGAACAAAAGCAACATTTGGTTAAGTGAACTCTCTTAAGAAATTCTAAGCTATTTAATCTTGGGGATTTGAGCCAGTTATGTAAACACACCATAACAATCTAGTCTCTCAGTGTTTTTCTCTTAGCTTTGTGGTGGAAAGGACTGCTGCTGCTCTTTCGAATCTCCTTCCTAGACACCCTCCAACTCCTTCCAACTCTATGGACAGGGTAGAGGAGGGCTGACCGCTATTAACAAGTGATAGAAGATATGCGACAGCAGATCTGTGGAAAATACAAAAAACAGTGAAACTGTCTCCTCCCAAACCCTTTCCTTACCAAATTCAATTTTTAAAACTAACCTTTAAAGAGAAATAAACAAAATGCTTGAAGACAACAACTTTAAAGCCATTTCAAAATTACCTCAAATAATCAAACCCCCAAGATTCAGTAGTAAAAGATAATAGAACATTAGATCTGGAAAGGATATTAGAGAGCGTTTAGTGAAAACAACCTGCATTGCATCTGACTCCAGGTCCAGTGCTCTTTCTACTCTGAGCTGCTGCTTACCAGGAAGTACCATCTTTTTAAAAATCAATGAATGATATCCCAAACATTTTGAAACATATGTCAAATCTGAGTTAGAATAGTTAACATTTCACAGGAATTCAACTACTGGTGCTATATTTTATACATAATACATTATCCTGTTAAATATGTTGACTATTAAACAGACAAGGAATTATGAATCTTTTGTCATACAGTATTTCTCATTCAGTGGAATCCATCGTGTCCACAGTTTCAAAGCAGTATTGAATAGTACTAGGATAGTTTGGGTTGTCAGCTGGGGCATGAAAAAATCACTTTATTATACAGAACTGGATATTATAGTATATTCATTAAAATTGGATTCTAGCAGTTCAATAAACTTCTAGTGGATTAATTTAAATTGTCTCCTATCCTGTGCTGTACTAGGATTTGATTTGTATACCATCTGTTGCAATGCACTTGGTTTATTTGATTGTCAATGAGAAATACTACTTCCAAATGCCTTCATGATTTTGTCCATGCTAGACTTAGGATTTTTCACCCCTTGCCCCTCTGAAATCATTATCCTGAAGTAACTTTTCTTAGGCATCTATTTGCTGGGAATCCTCATGTCAAAAACATTAATATTGTTTTGGGGCGTTGTTGACGACAATAAATTGAAATAAAAAAGAAGTGTATGATTTCCTCTTTCTAGACTGTACCGCTGATTTTCCCTCAGGAATATGGGGTAGCCATGTGGGTAGAAAACTTGACAATTTACAGCCTATTAGTTTAAGACTTTTTTTCTTCCCCCTCTTCATTTTTTTTTTTTTTTTGATTCTTGGGGTTTAGCCACAGGAGGATGAAACTAAAAGTTGTTTCATTTCTGAGCTTTTTTCCTTTGCAGTCTCCATGCTCTGGTTTCTCAGAAGACAACTTTGTCAGAGCAAACTTCCTTTTCTCATCAAAGTTGAGTCTTGGTATAAATTGTTCTGTTTGTTAGTGTTGGAGAAGAACACTAAGAGAAACTTTGAGGTGAGGAGAAGGAACCAAAATCCAAAGACAAACTCTGTGATTGCTTAGTGACAGCCTGGCTAAGTGACTTTAGGGCACATCTGGCCACAGACTGTCTCCCAGAGCAAATCTCTAGTGGTAATTGCAATTAAGACAGAAATATTTCCACTCCCTTGTTTGACTCAAAGGCTAGGCTACAGCAGGAATCCCTTCTTTCCTTGGAAGTTGCCCTGGCCTAAGGTCTACTAGGCTGATATGGTTTGATTGGGGAGAGGTCCATGATCCCAATATATTTATCCTCATCTAGGTTCTTCATTAGAGTCATTTTTCTTACTGATTTCCTCTTAAAATATTCAAACATCATAAAGTAATTTAACCAAATCATACAGAAGTATGATTTACACTGTGATTTTATCCAGGCAGTGGTTAGAGGTTTGGTTGTTTGTGTGTGTGTGTTAGGGGTTGGGGGAGATAGGATGGATGGAGGCAAAGGGCAAGGAAAAAGGGGTTGAAAGGCTAAATAGCCCTGCCTACTTCACAAAGTTCTTTAGTTGCAAGCTAGGAGGGAAGAAAAGCTGATAGGAAGATCCAAATGGTTTAAGAAGGACGTGATAGGCTCTCAATCTGGCAGCTTACTCTCCAAGATTTACTTCCTTGCAGGTTCTTGTATGGCCATAGTATCAGTCAGGGTTCCAACAAGAAATAGCTAGCACATTTGACAAAATAGAATAATTGGAAAGGAGGTTTATTTACAAAGATATTACTTATAAAGATGTAGATGTAGGGAACCATAAAGAATAGCACAATATGGGGCCGGCCCCATGGCCTAGTGGTTAAGTTTGGCATGCTCCCCATCGGCGGCCTGGGTTTGGTTCCCAGGCGTGGACCTACACCACTCATTGGCGGTCATACCGTGGCAGTGACCCACATACAAAATAGAGGAAGACTAGCAGAGATGTTAGCTCAGGAAAAATCTTCCTCAAGCAAAAAGAGGATGATTGGAAAAAAAAAAAGTTCTCATCACAAGAAAAAAAAAAAAAAAAAGAATAGCACAATAACCCAGGCTAGTAGAGACTGAACTCTTACTATCCCTAGACCCTAAGGGATAAGAGTAGGAAGTGGTTACCAGAACCCATAAGGACTGAGTTGTGTACAGTTAGCTGCCTTGAGAGGAGTGGTAACCTTTTTGAAGGACTAAGCTAGCCCAAGGTGATCTTGTAGGGAGGGAAACAGGAGAATAAATACCTTGACTTAATTTTCCTCCCTCCCTCTGATCTCCTGCTTGTAATTGCCATTGGCCAAACCCAATCAAAAGCAAGAGGGCAAGGAAGCCAATTGTTGTGATGCATATGGTCAGCCTCCCAAGGAAGAAAGTAGGGTGCAGAACAGTGGAGAGTATATTTGGAGGAGCAAACAGGAGATTCCTAGCACAGCCACCAAGTGGAGGTTCTGTGGGCAGACTCCTTGGAACCTGGTACAGTGCTGGAACCATCTACTGAACCAACTCCAGTGACTGGGGCAATTTTATCTTGATGCACACATACTCTGCTCTGTGGCTATAGGATCACAGACATTAGGCTTTCTCATTATAGAAACTCTTTCTCTATTCTTTAATATTTGTTCCCTTTTCAAATTTCCTCCTTCATACTTTCCAAATCTGGTATCCTTTGGTATATCATTCAGAACTGTTTTGCTTGCAAGTGACAAAACAAACAAATGAATTAAAAAACCTCAAATTCACTTAAGGATAAAAGGTAATTTACTGAATCACATAACTGGAAAGTCTAGATGTACTCTGGCTTCAGGCATAGCCAGGTCCAGGAACTCAAAGATGTCATTAGGAAACAGTCTCTCTCCATCTCTCTATTCTGCTCTCTATCATCTTGGCTTCATTCTCGGGCTCCACAAACCAAGACAAGCAAGATGGCTGCCAGCATTGCCAGGCCGACATCCTTAAAGGCTAATGTCCGCTTGAAAAGATAGCTTCTCTTCCCTGACAGTTCAAATAAAAATTCTGAGTCTTTCATTGGCTTGAATTGGATTCTGTGCCCATCCCTGAACCAATCTCTGTGGCTACGGAGAGAAACCTCTCTAATTGGCCAGGCCTGAGTCACATGCTCATCCCTGGAGCTTGGGGTGATAGCAATACCATTCAATCTTCCTGAATTGAAAGTCAGTAAGAGGTGATCCTCCTGAGGAAAATTGAAGTGATGTTATCAAAGAAGGATGAATGGATGTGAAGTGGAAGATAGAATAGATGTCCACAACATTTTGTCAAAGAGTGTCCTGTCAAATCCTACATCTACTTATGGTTTTATCTGAACTTTTAGAGTAAAATCTTTTTGAAATTTTAACATTAAGATCTCCAAAGAACAGTCGTTTCACCCTACACAAGCATTTTGTTCACACCTTTTACTGGGAAGAAAGGGAGGGTGGAAAGAGAAAGAAAGAAGCTACCTTGATGAATTCTGCTTTGTCTTTACCAAAGAAAATTCTTAAATTCAACTCTGCATTAGAGTTTGTCTGGCTTTCGTAAAACATTTTCTTTCCAGAACAGAATGATACAACCTTCACAAAACA